TAAAGTGACACTCAGAAAATTAGGTTACTGTGAGTGTGTTAATATGTGTCAGTTGAATCTTCACAGCGGCAGAATGCTCGCCAACCACGAAGGTGGTTCGTGGTTCGATCCCCGGCCGGCGAGGCACTCCTATACCTCGCTAAGCCAGTAAAATAAGACTGTTAAAGAAGGAAGGTTGGGCATGAGGCGGCTAACAGCCATACACCGTAAGAATAAACACCACTGCCACAGAAGGAAACTTCTAATCCCTAGCTTGAAGCCCAATGTTCCACCGGGAACGTGAAGGAATAGAAAAAATGTCATAAAAATTGTTGAATGTAGTCATTGGAGTTAGTAGTGTGGCTAATAAGTCACAATATTTCAAACAAGCACTTCATTTCTATGTCATATGTTTATGACTATTAACAGGGTGATGCACTGATGGTGCAGTGGTAGAATACTCACTGTCTATTCACGTGATGCACGGTTCAGTTTCCAGCCGACGCACTGCCGAATCTCACTTAACCAGTCAGCAGGGAAGACTGAGAATAATGTCAACAACTCCATTTGGTGAAAAAGAGATAAAAAGAGCTGCTACTGGGACTTCAAAGTTCGGGCTTGAAGCCTTATTTATGTTCCACTCGGAACTCAGAGGAACAAAATTTCTGCCTTCAAATTCTAGCCGATTCGTTAGATGTTATTCAATGAAAATTGAAAATCTTAAGAAATCTACTTTCAGTTCTTTGTCTGAAGAATAATTTTCTTGGATTCAGAAACAGGAATTTTAAGCCAGATTTCTTGTAGGGGTTAATTCCTATGGCGTCAAAAGAAAAAATCCCAATTATTAATACAGTACTTCTTTGGTTTTCAACAGGTCTTTGAATGATCGTCGTTTATGACGAGGTCCACCGTGTAGGGTAACGATTACCTTGTGAGGGTCAAACACAGGGAGATCGAAAGGCTTTCTGAACTTTTCCATTGCTTGTACGTACTGAACAGTGGTTTGCGCTTATAGATACTTTCTCAATTAACTGATCTTGAGAATGCTCACTGCTAATTTTAACTAGCGAAAACAAAACACGTAATTCCATATTAGTTTGTTTATTAGATGGATATATCACACAGTCAGTGAAACAGTATTATTATTTACTGGATGACAAAGTTTCGAACAAAATCTTTTATTGTTCATAATCATTCCATCAATTATAATCACACGACTTCGAAACTTGAGTTTTATAGTTTTCTTTGTTCTCTCCTATTTGTCGTCTTAGGGATAGTAGGATTTTCCAGATATCCGAGTGGACAGGTGTTGAATCATTCCTATTACACGTATTCCCTGTCAGTTGATTCGATGAACAAAGCTTCTACAATCAGTCTCTCCCATCATTCACCCTGTGTCATCACATTTTAAAGCTGTCATCTCATCCCATCCTATTGTATGGTTGTGTGTAATTGCATGTAGTTTCGAAGTCGTGTGATTATAATTGATGGAATGATTATGAACAATAAATTTTGTTCGAAACGTCATCCAGTAAATAATAATACTGTTTCACTGTGTGATATATCTAATAAACAAATAATATGGAATTACTTACTGCCACAGTGCCTAAGTTTTACACATATATTAACAAAACACGTAGTTCAACGAAGAGTCTCTTTTCGACTGCGAATTCAATCACTTCGCTGTACAATCACAATTATATATATTTGTATATATATAATTATTTTTGCATGTGTATACATTAGCTTTGTCAGACAAGATTAAAAACTACTTCGGTTAATTGTTTACTTCATCAAAATATTTTCAAAATGTTATGAATAATCGAACTGTATGAGTCTGATAGTGATAAGTTATCAAAAAATTGTTGCTTATGTTAGTCAACGCATAAAGGGAAGTTGCATAAGTGTATTATAGTTGCGCAATAAGACGAACAATTTAATGAGTGAGTTTTGATTAGGGGATGTATAAAGAAACGAAGGAGAACATGCAATTATGTAAGAGTTGTATAGGAAATACAAGAGTTGTTATAAGGAGTTGTTAGAAAAGCAGTCACGCAAACATCAAGTCAGTAGAAATCTACACGGCTGTTGCTATTATAGTAGAATTGGTTGAATGATTTTCATGTTGCATACATAACTCTGGTTTTTCGAAGTGAATGGCTAAGACTTCAGCAATGCGCTAGGAGACGACGGAGTTTTGCCTTTGGTAGGTTATTCATGATTCTCTAGATTACTTTGAGGGCAGGAGGCGATTTCTGAGATGGAATGATTAGTGTTGATGAGTTTTTCGATTATCGCACTCCTTATAGAGCCACTACCACCTTGCAACTATGCGTGACAGTATTCTCGAATGCAAGACCTTTAGTCCTTTAGGCTTCTGCGAACCAATGGACGACTGGAGAACACTAATCTTAGCGTTGCTGCCTAAGATGTTCGTCTCAAATGATGCTAACATTCTTCCCATTTGAAATCCAGGTTCATAATTCCATATTTTCCTGCGTTTCTATGTACATCATAATCAAAAATCACTCATTAAAATTCCTCATCTTACTACGCAACTACAATTCATTTATTCGACTTTTTTATGCATTGACTCACACTGACAACTACCTTTACACTAATCTTCATCCACCCTTTAGTTACAATTTGATTATTCATCACATTGTTTGAAATATTTTGATGACGTAAACAACAACCCTAAGTAATTTTCATTCTTGTCTGAGAAAACTAATAAAGATGGTTATATGTAATTGTGGATGTACAGCTAAGTGAATGAATTCGCCGTCGAAAATAGACTGTTCACTGAACCACGTGTTTTATTTTTCATTAATATCTGAATGGAGATTATTCAGGAACTTCTAGTTATCACGCTTGATCTCCTTCAACCAATGAATACTATTTAATATGGCGAGTTGTCATTTTAAGTGGTGACAACTAGTGGTGTCCGACAGGGATGCCCACTATCCCCATTTCTATTCATTTTCATCATAGATGTACTAATGGACTTAATCCCAACTGCCTTCAGCGACTCAGGGATTGAATTGTTACCAGGGAATAATCTCGTTGACTTAGAATATGCAGGTGATATAGTCCTTGTATGTGAAGACGCTGAAAAAAATCCATAGAGTCTTCTGAACACCTTGTGCTGAAATGTGAGAATGTTTGGCATGCGATTCGCTCCCGCCAAATGTGAGATGATGCTACAGGACTGAACTACATTGACTCCTAGCTTGGAAATAGGTAGTGAAGTGGTAGAGCGCGTTGACCGCTTCATTTATTTGGGAAGTTGCATCAGCCAACGCCAACGGGTTGATCGCTGACGAAATCTCAACACGGATACAGAAGGCTCGTTTCGCATAAGTCAGTTTACGCCACCTCTGACTTAGTTAACGTGATATCCGGCTGGCTATAGACCAAAGGGCGTGTGTAGTGCTCAGCAGTACGCTCCGTCCTCTTTTATGTCTGTGAGACCTGGCCATCGAGAGTAGGGGACATGAAAAGGCTAGCTGTCTTTGATTGTAGGTGCCTGCGTTCTATCGCTCGTGTTTTAGGTAGTGGTATAATAAGGAGAGCAATATTGAGGTCAGGAATCGATTGCTAGGTGAGATAGAGGGGAAATCAATTGACGAGGCTGTGAAGTTACATCGACTGAGATGGTTAGGGCATGTGTCACGCATGCCTAGCCATAGTCTTCCTCGAAGATATGGGTCAGATTAAGAAAGAGTCAGTGGTGGTCAAACCGAAACATGGCTTCATCAGTCAATGAAATCCACAACAGTTACTTTAAGCCAGCCACATGGGGAGGTGTAGACTTCCTGGTTCGGGTCATCGGGACGGTAAAAACCAGTGGCTGGAGACACTTTTTGGAAATAGGTATATCGATCGTTCGACTCGAGTTTTGTCCAAGAGGGTGCAAGAACACTATCCTGCATGGTTGCGAAGAGGTGGAAGTGAAGCAATAAGAAGCGCGATCATTGAACATCTGGTAAATAATGATCACCCTATCTCTATAGCCTCCGCCTTTAAAGTCATCTACAAGGCAAAATCACTACGTACCCGATTCATCTGTATTGCTGAAGCTTTGGCTATCGAAACAAAATAGCCAGATCTCTGTGTACAGAAAAATTTCGTCAACCCCTCCAACTTTCATGGTCTTAATCTCTCTATGCTAAAGTATGGTAATTCCCAATCATATTTTTGCTCTACCAATTTTTCATTTTTTCATTTTGTCTATTCAATTTGTATACTCTTCCTTTATTACGTCAACTGTTACTATTCCTATTCTCACTTTGAAATGTCCCCGGTATTATTTCACTTGTTCCACTTGTCATTCTAAATCAATTCCTTTTTTTCTACAACGTTAAATTCTATGCTATTAAATTTCACACAATATTACGCAACGTTTTTATTTTATTCGATTTGTCTACTAATCCAATAATTGCACACCCTTTTCAAGTTCTATCCATCCTATGAATTATTCTATATATGACATTAATTTGCTTTGCCACTTGACATTTAACTACGATTATAATCACAAACATTTTAATTTTAATTGCATTTCATATTATTATTATTTTATGCATTCACACCTATGATTCAATTCCTTCACTGGATGTTACTTCTTAAAAACCATATATGTATACGATTGTACAGCTTGATAATAAATTCGTTGTTGAAAAGAGTCTCTTCGCTGAATCATTTGTTTTGATTTTCTTTATGTTACAATGGGTATTTTCCATGAATTGGTGATATGGCTCACAATCATTCTCACTGGCGTAGATGCATCCACTCCTTGTGACTTATAATTTCCAATAAAACTATATTGTTCTTCGATATTATATCTCTATTTACTGTCTCTATTCTGCATTCCTTTTTACTTTCTTCTCTTGCTTTGTGTGCCACATGGAGGGAGTCTGGCGACTCGAACTGCTGGTGCACATCGGTGCAAAGTTCTATGTTGAAACCAGTCATTCAATATGTAAAACATTAAAAAAAGAAAAGAAAAGAGAAAATAAACTCACATGTTTTACACGTGATCCCATAACTTTCTTGTATTGAAACATAACCAGGCTTACAGAAACATTCATTTTTTTCAATTGAACACATACTATTGGCAACACGACGCATACAATAAGCATCACCTTCTTGTAGACATGGTCCTGGAGAAACAACATGAAATTCATCCGCATAAATCCATACAATAAAATAAGAAATTAATAGATAATCTCTCATAATCCGTAAAATAATGATATAAGCTTCTATATATACATATATGTATATCCAACTGCCTCTTAATGTCGATTTGTCGGGTTTTTTTCCTCTCTTAACCTGATCGCATACTAGATGTGCATCGCCTCATTCAGTGGAATAATACACTTCGAAGAAGAAGAATTCTTCTCCATAGTTACCACGCGTCTGTGTTGACACGAATGAAGAGTCATTAATAATTAATTATAATTTCTGTTGAAACAGACGCTTTCTCATAGGTAAAATTGTCTCTCTAAAATAAATTTTTCCTTAATTTTCATTCGTGAATATACAGTGAGTAAATTAACCAATCAGAAATTTATTTTGTATATTCAAAGAATGACAGATTCAATAGTGAATGGCATTTTGTTTAAAGTTAGTAAAAATTAACCAATCAGATTTTTGTGAACAGATTTAAACAAAAATTACCAAACCAAAAAGCAGAAGAATGTTAATGACTACTAATTTTGAGTACTTGTATTTTTAACTCAGATATGTTTAAGAGATGGTGTTTAATTAGAGTTAAGTGTTAATTTATTTGGATAAAGTCCCACACAGTGTTGTTATACAGTAATATTTACTGATGACCACGTTTCTAGCACAATTTATTACTGCTCATTATGAAATCAAGTTCCTCAAATAACTTTCTGACTTTGTTAATATACATGAATAAAAAGTGACTAGACATTTGAATAAAATCAACAAAAGATCAAAAATGGTCAAGTAGGACAACCTCTTTAGCTTAAAGGATCCTGTAGGTTGACCCAATTAGACAAAATGATATAATTTACAAAATGCCTTGAAATGACTGTGAGTTAGGTGAACTACATAGATTAAAGCCGTTGATCAGGGATAGCGAGATTTAGGAAAAAACTGAGCAGTCACACTGCATGCATTAACACACAACCACACAATAGGGTGGGAGAGAGTTAAGATTCTAAGAAGTAATCTAGGTAGGTGTAGAGTGAGATAGAATGATTACTGAATCCTTGTTCATCGAGTCTGCATCCCACACATGCAACAGAAATGACTCAATGCAAATAACAGAGATACAGAAGATATTATTACCAGTAGTCAGTCAAATCAGAGGAGGATAATAAATAATCTTAAAATTCTATTTCAGTTCACGTACATCACATTATTCTAATATGTTACTTATTGCGACTATAAAACCACTTGCCTTATTTCCCATCTGACTGTATTTGACTGATAACACTCATATTATTATTATTTCTGAATGTACATTATCCCAAATTGATTTTATTCAAATGTGTAATCAAGTTTTACTCATGTATACAAATGAAGCAAGAAAGTTGTGTGAGTAGTGCCTTGATATGACTATGAGCTGCAGCCATCAATAAATATTTCTGCATAACACTGTGTGAGACTTTATGCAGATAAATTTTATCCATAATGTAATTAACTGGATATTTCTTATTATGTAATACTGATTAAAAACACAAAACAAACTGGACGTTGCAAAGTCCTTCGAAATTATCAACAGACATAAGAGTTCAATTCTCCTCAAATTTGTCGAAGCAATCTACATCAAGTGCCTGAAACCCGATTTATGAGTTCAGAAAGAAGTGGTTTTGCGTCTTTCCTTGCCCACCTTTCGTTCGATTACGTGAATTCTAATATTCCCTTTTGTACAATTATTATTATTATTTGGAATAAAGTGATTGTTATTAATTATATTAGTATTGTATGCATATATTGATTTTTTGTTTAAAAATGAACTCTCTGTGGTTAAGTATGTTGAAACTGTTTCTCTACATAATTTTAATAATGTCTTAGGGATGTAAGCAGCTGATGAGAAGCCAACGAAATAAACAGTAAGGGTATCATTTTATTCAGCGAAAACCACTGTTGTTGTTCTTGTTTTATTCAAATTCATAAAGGGGAATAAATGCATCAGATAATTTATTTAACTGAAAGAACTAATCGAAATGATGACAATCCATCGGTAAAGAAGGAATATGCTGTGAGCATAGACGAAGATGTCAAATCGAGAATCGGGAAGGCGAGAAACACATTCATCAACCTAAAAACAATCTGGAAATCTTTGTCACTCAGCCTGCATCAACAACAAAATTCGGATTTTCAATACAAACGTCAAGTCAGTCAGTTCTTCTATACGGACCAGAAACTTGGCGGGTCACAAAGAATATTTCCAACAGCCTGTTGCAGATCTTTATCAACAACTGTCTTCTCTCTCTACTGAAGATCAGATGGCCGCCGGAAAGAATCACCAACAAGGAACTATGGGAACAAATAAAACAAGAACCAATCGCCACCCAAGAAATATGCAGGAGAAAGTGGAGATGGATTGGACAGTCGCTGAGGTGGCCGTTGGCTGACATCGCTCGTCAGGCCATAACTCGAGTGGAACCCGAAAGGGAAGCGGCGAGTGGGACGTGCAAGGGTGACATGGAGGAGATCGTGTGAAGAGGAGTTGAAACAGTATGGATTAACATGGATGCAAGTGAAAAATACAGCAGAAGACAGAAGCAAGTGGAGGCGTGCAGCTGAATCCCTATGTTCCATTAGGAACCCAAGGGAACAATAATAATAATATAATATCAGTGTTCAAAGTTTGATAAACACATGTTGCTACATAAAAATTTCACAAAGATCAAAACTTTTGAATAGTCTGTGTCAACAAAATTGTTTCTCATAAGATGCAAACATCGGTTATCTTGTCAGAAGAATGGTGACCTTTTAGTGATCTTCGAATTCCCAGTTATGTATTTAGAAAAAGCAACAGAGAGAGCGAAGAAATATGCATTCCTGTTCAATAAGTAGTTCCTCGTTATCGGCTAGGTCTGCACTAATAAACCGTCTTTTACAACAAAATTTTTTACCAATCAAGTGGTTATTTTAGTTCATCAGTTTTAGGTATGCCTACAAAGAAAGGTGAAATTAAGAGGTTAAAGGTTATCAAAACATCAGTTAACTAATAGATGTTAGTAACAAGATATCAAAGTTTCGAAGGAAGGAAGGGTGAAAATCAAGTAATTACGGAATTCAAGATAAGTTAATTCTTGGGCGATAGCAACAAGTTATTACATAATCAAGAAATTTGTAAAATAGCAGTGATGACTAAGAAGAACAGGATGACTCACAAGATTTACGCAAAATACACACAAGTTAACAGAATTAGTTAAAATTTTAAAACTAAAAGTGTAAATTGTAGAAAATAACAATAACTCTATTCACTTTTTGGACATCCAAATGACTAAACGAACAGACTAATATATGTGTAAAACTTGGGCACTGTGGCAGTAAGTAATTCCATATTAGTTGGTTTATTAGATATATCACACAGTGAAACAGTATTATTTACTGGATGACGTTTCGAACAAAACTTATTGTTCATAATGATGCCTTCAATTATAATCACACTAAGTCGAAACTTGAGCTTTATAGTTTTCTTTGTTCTCCCCTGTTTGTCGTCTAAGGGGTAGTAGAATTTTCCAGATATACGAGTGGACAGGTGTTTATTACGCGTACTTGCAGTTGATTCGATAAACAAAGCTTCTGTCATCAATCTCTCCCTCCACCCTGTGACATTAGATTTTAAAACTGTCATCCTATCCCATCCTATTGTATGCTTGTGTGTGATTGCATGTAGTGAATGCTATAGCTGAACTATTCTCAAGATTTCTTATCTTATTCGGGTCAACTAATCTAGATTTTGCTGCTAGGCTTTTGTGCTCCGCTTATCTGACTGACTGACCCCGTTCTACTAATTTGACCTATGTATTTGACCTGAAAATCATTCCAGCAGTGTATAAGAAAGACTAAATTGTTTTGTTTAATTGGCTCTCCAGGCAGGATCCTTTAACCGACAAAGCTTGTTTCTAATTGAGTTTGTGGACAGTTTGAATGCCAGCCACTTTTATTCCTGCCTGCCTTGTTAAGAATTCTGCGTAAGGTGGCTTCCGAGGTTCCTTCCTTGTATGGAATTACTACTGAGGATTTAGATTCCTTATTATTGGTATCATCCTTAATATTATTATTATTATTATCAGTATTACTGTTGTTATCACTACCACTACCATCATTATTTATTTTATTTATCAAACGAACAGACGGAATAATATGTAGACGTTTGTATAGAAAACCTACTCCCAGTGGACAATATGCTCAGTTTCTGAGCTTCGTACCTCTACAATACAAACGTAATCTGGTTAGATGTCTGGTTCACTGGGCTAGATTCATCTATTCAAATGAGACAATCAACCAAGAACTGAGTAATATTCGTGCTCTACTAAGCAGAAACGGATTATCCAACTAAATCCGTAAACAAACACATGAACTCAGAAAGTAAAAAGTCAAAAGTACCCACTGCTCTCAAAAAAGTCAGTCTTCCTAAGATTACAATTCACAGGTGATGTCAGTAGTGAGATCTTATGACAACGTCCGAGAAGGGTCTTCAAAAAGACTTGTAACACAGCTAAGTTTCTTGTATATTTACAAGCCAATCTATGGTTATTTCAAGAAGTAAATACAAACTGCCCAGTTTTACCTCTTCCATGTGTATTCATCAGTTTAACTGCTAGTGCAGAGCTAGTTACATTGGATGTGCAATCAGGTTCGACAGAGTTCCGAATAAAGCTTTAAGCAGCTGAATACTAGATCATCTCGTCGATGCTGACTGGACATCAAGTCGATTCTAATAAAGCTTTTAAAGTTATCTGTCGTATTTCACCCAACCAATCGCTGCATGGTCTACGAATATGATTTTTACATACATCAGAAGCAATCAGAATTCATCGGAACAAGTCAAATCTGTGAGTCAGTTCAGAAGAAATTTGTACAGCCCCTTTCTTTGTCATCGCCAACTACATAATACA